ACTTCATCTCCCTCCTTCCTCCCAATCATCAGCAGTACCGTAGCGAACCCTTCGTCGTTTGAATTCTCTATTTCTTCAAGGCATGCAATGTAGAAGCTTGAGCATTAAATCATTTGACAGTGCATTACGATCTTTAAATAAGTATAGCACATTTTATTGAAAAAAGACTTACTCAAAAAAAAAAAATTTAGGAAAAACTTGACTTTTTATTAGCTTTGGCTCCGTTCACTAACTATTACGTTCTCGCTTTGATACTCATGTAAAGGGTACCTCAAATTCAAACAATTACTCTTTGTTTTTTTGAAAAATCATAGACATAAATATCAGTTGGAAAGAGGGAGATTGCTTCAGATTGTTTAACAAATGAATGCAAGCACTTAGCTGATGTCCTGTTTGATTGTGAAATAATAAATATTTTTTTTCAGAAATTTTAATTTGAAAGTTAAAAATCTAAATTGTAAATTTTCTTAAAATAAAACAAAAAGATAAAAGGAATGCCAAATGTTCTGCATATTTTCATTAACAAAAAACAGCAAAGAAGATCGACTATAGCGTTTCATCCATTAAATATTGGTTAATCAGACTTGACTTCTTTTGATCAAACTAGGCAAGTATTATTTAGTCAGCCTTAGAAAGGTGGAAGACGATTTACTGTTACACTATTGGTCCTGATCCAGCATAAAACTTCTGACAACGCTAATTATGAAAGAAGAGAATGCAAAATAATAAAAATGTTGGTTATGTGCTATTTAAATAATCACATATGGGATATGTATATAACAAAAAGTACAATCGTCAGGATAACAATTAACAAAATAAGGATACCATGAATGACTCTTCCTACATTAAGTACAGAGTCATCCTGAATATGTATACGTTGGATTAACGAGTCTTACTCTAGTAAAACTAGGTGGCTTGGAAATTTTTGTAAAGTAATAAGTTCTTATCGCTCCCACGAATGCTTATTGGAGGAAGTAATGACTTTTCCTTGTAATGTTCGTGTGCCGTCCATAATCTGATTTCAATTCTTTTGGCGAGAGTAGTTGTCGAATATGTATAACAGGAAACGCATTCAGCAAGATTATAATAAACAAATTCATGAGACTGGGCCAATCCTCGTATAATAACTACGAATCGTATTGAATATGTATGTTGAATTGGGTAATTTTACTCCATTATATAAAAGAAAGCATGAGCAATTTGGAGAAACAATAAACTTTTATTGCTTCCCAAAAATTTCTTTAATGGAAACAATCGTTACCCCTTATAGTGCCGGTGCGCTGCCCATGATAGTCCTTGTTCACTACAGAGCGGGATAATGCAGGTTTGTAGAGGAAGACTTCTTCCATCAAATGATGTGTGTACAACAAAGTTATATGGCAAACTGTTAATATGTGAATCTCAATAATAGAATGAACAGTGAGTATTTTTGATAAAACTACCGTGTTTTTTTTAGTTAGACCATTTTTTATATCGACATGAACAATAAGTCATTACTTAGAAAAAAAATGACTTTTTTTTCATTTAAATCTACTCCAAGAGCAAAATGAACATTAAATATGTATAGAAAAACATTCTATATATTTTTTGTTTAGATTTATCTGAACGATATAATGAATAGTAATGTATTTATTTAGAAAAAGAAATTCATTTTTGCTACTTAGACCCATTTCAAGATCAACATGAACAGTGAGTATGCTTAGATAAAGAAATATTATTTTTAATTATTTACGTCACATGCACAGGTTTTAAAAGCACGATCGTAAGCGACCGCACACGAAAAAATACGACGAATTAAAATGATCGTATACGAACGCCGTATACGATGCAATACAATGATATACGATAGTTGTAAACGACCGTTGAATACGATAATCATATACGGCGTTCGTATAAGATCGAATTTTTATTGTGTTGAATTTAAAGTAATTTTTTTGTATAAAATAATTTTTTGTTCTATTTTCGATCAGTATCAATGGCCCAATGAACAGTAAGTATTATTTTAAATTAAACTATTATTTTATTATTATTTTAGATTTGTCTCAACGGCACAATAAACACTAAGTATTAGGGGTATCGGCTTAGCATTAATTTAATGCTTATGATAATGTTAAGCGGACATCTCTAGTAGGTATAATTGATATTGAGAATGCGGGCAAGGGGGAAACGGAGGACGAACGACGGGGATTGGAGGAGGGTTACAGGTAATTACCCCGTTCTCACTGAGGAGGAGCGTGTGTGAATACGATGGTAAACGACACCGTCTACGACTGTGTATGATCGTTTAAGGCGGTCGTGTACACATCGTACTTCAGGTGTCAAGTAATACGGCGAAATACGATCGTAAATTACACCGTATACGATCGTTTATGACTGTCGTAATGCTCGTCCTGGGAAAATATGAGTGATGCTGGTGTCTATTGTACGGTTCTTTTTACAAAAACGATCGAAAAGAAAAGCAAACAACTGTACTTTAAAGCGTCATCATCTGATAGAGAATACTTTGGAGTATAAGAAAAAGTGGTTTTTCAAATTACCAGTTTTTTCTTTTGTCTGATTTAGAGACCAAAAGTTTTCTTGGAACTTATTAAGGAATCTTTTATCTGATTTGAGTGAAAAATGGTGGTATCCAAGGGTTAATATGATCTTATAGTTTTCCAAACATTTCCTATCGATTTACATGTCCAGAAGAAATACAAACATAATCAATTTTAGACAATTTTTTTTTCAAATTTTCAGTAGGATAGAAGACTGGTGCAACTAGAGAATGGGAGCATTTCACTGTATTTTTATGATAACTTTATTCAAGAATGAGTTAGAGCCTTGATATTTGCAATATAAGTTGTGCCCACTGACTAGCATTTGTGGTAAAAAAATCAGCCCACAACTCCTTATCGTTTGGTCAGGAAATTAGCAAAAGGGGGTGGGACAAATTATCGGTTACATGACCATGAGCACCACTAAAATGTAAATTATTCAAAAACGGAAAAAACTATTAAGTTGCGATTTTCAGCAATCGATAGTGCCCAAATTGATGAATATTTTTATGTAAAAAAAATTTAACTAAAAATGTTTATTGACCTCACAGCAGATTCAAAAGGGGGTGGGACATCCTTTTTTATGTGATCTGGAACCACTGACAAAAGTTCAATTTTTTACGAAACGAACATCGCTGAATTGAAAATAAGGTTATGAATAGATAGAGTATTCAAAATGCTATAAGAAACCTAAGAAGTCGTCTTTTACTTTTTCCTTTTTCAACTGAAAAAAAACCTGAAGAAAGACAAGAAGCGCGTGAGAAACCATAAAAAAACACACGGAACAGAGGTAAAAGCGACTTTGTTTTGAACACTATTCGTAAATAAGAATAGGTCGAAAGCTGATTTTAGCAGCAGAGATAGGGCATGAGTAATGTATGTTTCAGTATAAATTTTGATCACACAGTAAGTGAGAAATAAAGAGAGCCATTTCTGAAAATTAAATGGTACAATAGACACCATTTTATTCTTCAACCTACACAGACCGATCCCTAACCCGTCGGCTGATTCTCGGTCACGAAAATAGTCAAAACTAACAAAAGGTCTTCGATCAACCGATAAGACATGACTTGTTACTAGATTAGGTTTGCTTGAAAATCGATGATAATGTTGTTTGGGTTGCTTCAAAATATGATAGACTTATCACATTGTATATCTTTTTGAATTTGTGTGTTATTTTTACTATAATAAAAGCTTGAATAAAAGGAAAAAGATTTCTAAATTTTTTTTTCATTACATATTTTGAAAATAGAATCTGTTTGACTAAAAAAATCCGTGCTGGAATAAAAAAGTGCGTAATTAAAAACGATTACATTCCTTTGTAATCGAAATCGAACAATTCACTATAAAACATTTTTGGTTGAAGAAGAAAGCCAAAATAATGAAGAACAGTTGCCACCAGTGGAACAGGAATTTTTCCATTATCTGATACTGTTACCATTGAAGATTCACATTGGGGCATTCCTTTAATAGACAAATTAGATAATAAATTTTGATATTGTCCATCAGGTAAATTATCAAATTGAACATATTTTTGATCTGTATTGCTTTGAGAAACGTTAAAAAGACCAATAAGACCTTGACGATCTGATTCTGTTTGCCATACGACAACGATGCATGGACTATGATGAGTTATTGTCAAACTAATAAAGAAATAATAAAAGAAATTAATCATTTTTTCATTTTTTCAAACATAAAATGATCTTTTACTTCGCATCATTTGATTGAATAATTGGATTTTTTTTAATTTGAATTAATTGACGTATAAATTCTTCTAATGGATAAATATTTTTACAATCAAGCCAATCTTTTTCAAATAATGATGATGTTTTTGTTTGTTCACTTTCTTGACCTGCATGTACCAAAAAACAACCTTTATTAAACGCATGAAATGCTACGAAAAAAACAAAAAAAAAATTATTAAAATAATGATAGATATTTTAATTAACCTGTCCAAGCAAGTGCTTTTAATTGATTATCTCGAAAAATATGTGCAGCACGTTGTTGATCATGATTTTCAACAAATCTTAATTTGATAAAATCACTCGGATATATTGTTGTTTGTAATCGAACCATTTCAAGATAAGATTTTATTGGAATGGCTCCTGCTATTGCTGCACGCCATGGTCCATATATATCATAATCATAACAAATATCAAATGCTTCGTATAAAGATGAATCAGTATTAACTATTTCGCGTTTTGCACGATGTCCTTCAATATAAGGAAATCGAGTAGATTCAGCTAACCAAACACAATTTGGATATAAACTTGATACTTCATGTCGAGCTTGACGCCTATAAACATAAATATATAAGATTATTTCATATTAATTTAATTAGAATTACAAACCAGAAATTCATTGTTACACCTGAAGCAACATCCATTCGAAATCCATCAACACCTAATTCACACCAATATTTTAATATATCAATTAATTCTATCCATAATGTCTTTTCGTTTCCATTAAATTTTAAATCTAATATATCTGTCCATTCTGGAACAATTGCTATAAGATTTCCCTATAACAAACAAACGAATATATTTTATACAAAAAAAAAAAAAAAAAAAAAACAGCCAAGAATTCATTTGACAAACTTTATCATCTGTTAAATACCATTCAGGATGTTGTTTAACCCAAGGACAATCATGACTAGTATGTCGAAAGACCATATCAAGCATTAAATACATTCCTTGACGATGAATTTCAGAAACAAGATGACGAAAGTCATCGAGATTTCCATGTTCAGGATTTATTTCACGAAAATTCTTTATTGAATATGGAGAACCAAGTGTACCTTTGCGATTTGTTAATCCAATTGGATGTATTGGAAGAAGCCATATAAAGTCTATTCCCAATCGAGCGATTCTATTAGAATTAATTTATTTTTTCTTAATAAAAACTAAACAATAAAAGATTAACCGTGGTAAATCATCAATTACACCTTGAAGTGTTCCACTTTCCGTATGATTTCGTGTATAAATACAATAAAAACTTAAATTTCGAATATTCTCTTTATTCATTTGTGTCAAATAAAAATATAAATTATGAAAAACAAAACAAACAACAAAACTAAATACATTTGGACAGAAAGAAGAACATATCAGAACATTTATGTAGATGACACTGTCATCTACCTATCGTCATGATTCTTTTTTTATTTTACATAATGAAATATGTATTTACACATAAAGATCATTCTTTTTTTTATTTTGGCGAATGACTATACAACCTTTAATGGCTAGAATTCAACAAAACTGAAAAGAGATAAACAGATACATGTGACTTTGTAAAGTGGACCACAAGATAAATATTTAGTGTCCTTCGGCAACCTAAATATGTCTCATTTTTTACATATAGATAACCTGTTAATAAATAAAACACTTTTAGAATAATTGTTTATAAGTTCACAAGATATTTATGTAGTTCCTATATATCCGTTCAATTGATTCCCTTAAAACATATTAAATTTGATTATCACTATCTGAATATATTGAGTTAGTCAAAGATAACTTTGATTTATTTTAGATTCTTCTTTTTAGCTTAACAATTTGAAAAAATCTATTTTTTCATTTGAAATATTTTGTTTATTTAATAGAAAATAATATATGTATTAATATATGTACTATAGAAATGTTATCATAATAACATGTTCGAATTTTTTAATATTAGTGTTTACAATTTCGTGTCAAATTTCATAAACTGATAGTGAAAAGGTTTTAATTCAATATTCATTATCTCCTTTTCCTTATGAAATCTTTTAATGTCTATCGATTGGTGTTGGTGATTTTATTTTTGCTTTATGTGATACTATGGTAATCTGTTGATGTTTTTCGATCATTGGACGGGTACGATAGGTCTATAAATAGACGAAAAAATGATAACAAAATTTTATTCTTTAGATATATACCGTAAGCGTTATACACTCAAAAACGATGTTGATGTTATCATTTATTCTTTTGTGTATTGTTGTATTTCTCATTATTTATTTAATCTATAATCGTTTTTGTTATTTTTCTAATCGTTCAATACCTTATCCACCTATTCCATCAATAATATTTGGTCATTTATCTGACTTATGGTCAGCTCGTTCATATTCTGAACAACTGCATAAATGGGCACTTAAATATGGTTCGATCTATGGAATATTTGAAGGTATTCATCCTGTTTATATTGTATCTGATGTTAAAATAATTCAAGAAATATTTGTAACACAATTTCATCGTTTTTATGGTCGACGAACACAATTATCAAATCGAATATTAGGTCAAGAACGTCTTCATGTTTTTGCAACTAATTCAAATGATCAATGGAAAAGACAAAGAAATATATTAAATCCAGCATTTAGTACATCAAAAATAAAACGATTAATACCAATTATGGATTTATCTATCGGTGTTTTTATGGAAAAATTATCATTAAAAAACAATGAAAAAGTTATTAATATTTTAGATTTTTACAAACGTTTAACAATGGATATGATTTGTAAGATAATAAAAAATATTTAATGAAATATAATATTTTTTTTTTTGATTTTATTTTTCTAAGGTCGTTGTGCATTTGGTATTGATACACAAATACAATATGATATTGATAATAAAAATATTTATATGAAAAAAGTTCAAGAAGTCTTAGAAAAAGATTTTGAACGGTCATTTTTAGCACGAATCCATCGAATTATGCCTTTTCCTTTCTTAGCCAATTTATGTTCACTTTTATTTCGTCTTCAACATATTTTCGAACATGAAAAATCTTCATTTCCAGCTAATTTTTGGCTTATTAATCATATGCATCAATTTATTCAACAAAGATTTGTTCAGAAAAAGCATCATGAATCAACAAATGATCTTCTTCAATTAATGATTGATGCTGTTCAATCCGATAAAGTCAGTTTATTAATAATTAATTTTACCAAACAAAAGAAATTGGAAGAATTTAAATAGAATTGATAATAAAATAGACATATTTGTTTTTCACCTTTATGTTAAACAAACTCTCGAAAGACAAATAATCCTAATGAAAAAAAATATATTGAATGATCTTCTATCGTAAGCTAGTTTTTTACTAACATTTACCTAAAAAATTAACGGTTTCGAAAAATTTTTTCTAATATATCTAAATAAGCATCGTTACCAACAAAGTACTGAAAAAAATGAAGTTTTTTTTATTAGGAAAGACGTTTTTTTGCTAGAAGAGAAAAACTAATTTTAATTAGAAAAAAATGTTTTTTAGGTGCTTGTCTATCTCTAAAATTCGTTAGATTTTCGAGAAAAGACTTTTAAAGATTCATGGTCTTCTATTCTCGAAATGAGGTTTAACAAACGAATCAGAGTTATGACTAGGGCAAGAACAAGAACAAGTACAAGTACAGAAAATTGAAGTATTATATTACTTAGTACTTATTGTTCTACTTCAAGTCGAACACATTTCTATTCATATTTAAGTACAAAAGCATAACTGCATATTTTTTACTTGATGTATATAGATAAAACAAATTTTGTCAATAAAGGTGACTAAATCTGATAAACTTTTGAAAACAATTATAATATATTCTGATAAACAAAGAATGATGATAATAAACATATTTTAATGAAACTTTTTACCTTGAAAAGTGAAACAAATATTATCATTTTCAGATGTCTACTAAGATATAAAGTAATGTTGTCAGCGTATTAGAGAAAAAATTTTCATCAATAAATATTTTTATTGTAATATTTTATTCATCAAAATATATTACGACACTCTTTAAATACCGATCAGAACTGATTAATCTTATTGATCATATTTATTTTATTCATGTATCAAGTTAAAAGTACAAACTTCTCTTTTGTTTTTACACTCAAGTATGAGTACAAAAGTATTCGTCTTGAAGTAGAATTATATTTCCTAAGTACATCTGATGAATAAGTATACTTTTAATTGTACCTGAAAAAGTACAAAAAGTGCAAGTAAAAATAGTTTCGTTTGAGTTCTACAAATAATTTATCTTTCTGTTCTGTCATGTTTTGCTTGAATTATTATTTTCAATTATAATTTATTTGATATTCAATCAAATAAACAATATTTCAAAATTATAAAAATCTTTTTATTGAAAAATTCTATTTTATAAATTACAAATGTTAAGTCTTTAGAATGTGAAGAGAAAACAAGAAAAATATATTTCAAGACAAAAAAGTTATGAATTTGAGACTTTTTAAACAGTTAGTAGTTTCATAAAAATCTGCTTAAGTTTTCTGTTTTACCCATTCTCAATTACATAAAATAAAACATTGATTTTTCAACTAATCTTCATAATTCTTTGAGTAAATGTAAAATATTCATAGATGATGTTAACTTAATAATAGTATGAACATATGATTAAATATGAACCGATTAGGTGAAAATCTTGACAAAAAAAACATTCTACAGAGTTGACTTCAAAAAAACATATGTTTTACGATTATTTTTCAAATTTTTAACCAAACAATAGTTGATAGTTGAAAAAATTTGCTTAAAAGAAAATAGATCTTCGTCCGATTGAAATCAAAATTTCTTTTTTTTTCTTTTAAATGTAACAAATTAATATTAATTCTATTGCTGAATTGTTTTCAAAAATGTTATATTAGCTATAGTTGANAACTTAAAGATGTTTTTATAAGTTAAAAAAGAATGAAAAAGTGAAAATGAAATAAATTTCGTTCGATAAAATATAAAATCTATTTCAGATAACTAAGAAAGAAAAATGTAATAATGAATAAAAGTCAAAACAAAATAAATCTTCCAATGAATATAAATGTAAATTATGTGTTAACATGTTTATTTATTTTAATAGCAATCGTTGGTATATTGGGTAATTTATTAGTAATAATATCAGTTCAAGTTGATTCTAATATGAGACGTTCATTAACAAATCGTCTTATTGTTCATGTTGCTTGTTGTGATTTAATAATATTATTATTTAATATTCCTGATATAATACAATTTGTATCATCAACAAATGGAAATTGGGTTTTAAATGAAATAGCTTGTAAATTAATTCGATCAATACTTGTTTTAGCCCAATATGCATCTGTATTAACAATGTGTGCTGTTACTATTGAAAGATTTATTGGTATTGTTTATCCACTTCGTTCAAAATTTTTACGTGAAAAAAAACATCTTGCTCAAATAACATTTTTTGTTTGGTTTTTTTCCTTATTATGTGTATCGCCAAATTTTATTTATTTACGTGTTATATCAATATCTTCATCACGTCGTTCTTGTCTTCTTCAATATTCAAAAGATAATATTTTACAAAATCAAATTAAATTTATTATTTATAAATCAATTGAATCAACTATTTTTTATTTTATTCCACTTTTATTACAATTATATTGTTATATAAGAATAGCTACGAAATTATCAAATGTTGATCATACACTTCATAATTCTTTTCATTTAACTAAAAAACAATATATTCATCGAACACAGGTTAGATTTATACAATTAATCAAAACGACTAATCTTAGTTTTTTTTTTTTTTTTATTTCTTTTCTAGGATGATATTTATGATGAAGATGATTATATTGACAATTATGAAAATATAGTTAGTAAAATAACTCTAACTGATTCATTTACAAATTCATTAAATGATCGTCATAATACTAATCGTAAACGAGGTAGTTCTTTGTTTTTAAAATATTTTTCTCTAAATAATAATTCTACATTATCGAATTTAAAACATCGTCAAGAAACAAATGATTATTATCAATCACATGTAACTTATAAAGCATTAAAATCTCGTCGAAGTGTTATTAAAATGTTAAGTGTTGTTGTTCTTATTTATTTTCTATCATTTAGTCCTCAAGTTCTTGTTTTTATTTTATTCGATACAAATGCAATTCAACCTGCTCCACAATTTATTCAAACACCTTATTTTATTGCTTTTACAATGCTTTTAGTGACAATTAGTTCAGCATCAAATCCAATTGTTTATGCTATTTTTTGTTCAAAATTCCGACAAAGTTTTGCGAAAATTTTTCGAAGATTATGTTTTTGTTATCAAACAACATATAATTGGAATTCAAATCAACGATCAAGATCATCACAACAACTACCCAAACTTACTTAACATTCTAAAATTGAAAAAATGATCAATACTGAAAAAGAAAAACAAAGTGCAAATAAGATCAGTTTTATTTAAATTAAAAATATCAATGATCAATCTTGATGAAAAGTTTTTTTTTTTTTTTTTTTTTTTTTTTTTTTATAAAAATTTTTAGTTCAAAAAAAAAAAATTTTTTTTTTTNTTTCGTTCTGTAGTTAATTGGATTTTTCTCTTTCGTTCATTCGATAGTAAGATTTTCTCTTTTTCGTTCTGTCCATCTCTCTCTGTAGCATTTTCTCAGATTTTGATACAGTTCAGTTGTTATTTTGTTTTCGTGAAGAGCAGTCGCATTCACTACCACTTCACTCGTGTGTGATTTTCGCCTTTGTGAAATAAATCGTTCACTTGAAGTGACCTCACATCTCCTCCTCAACTGATCACGTCTGTTCTTGAACATAAGGTAAGACCCCCTATACCCTATTATTACATCACCCATGAACTGTTGACCTAACACAAACAATATTAAAATGTAAGTAAAAATAAAAAATCCTTTCCTAATGGTGACAATTTATTATTGTGTTGACTAGTCTTACATATAAATGTAATTAATGTCAATTATCAATAGAAATAATTTAATATAAACTTCTATTCATTGATTTTTTTTTCTAATATTCATGAGCAAAATAAATTCTGTTCATCAAGACACTTTTTATTGTATTCTTATAAGTAAATCTTTATAGATTCAACAGCAATCTTATTGCGAATTGATCAAGAAAAAAAAAATATATTATTAGTCAAATTGAATAAATAACAGAGGAAACGCGTCAATTAGTTCAACAACTAATTCAAATTACAGATGGTACTAAATATTATAAATTTATTGATCTATCGAATGATTCAAGACAAACAAGAGAAAATGAAAAGTTATTTTTAACAACATATTCAAAGACTTAATCAATAATTTGAACAATTAACCCTTTGCTTACAGCGTTTTTTTATTCTACGAACAAAAAAACATTTTTGTTTCTTATCAGAAACATTCAAACAGGATATATACATGCATAGTCATATCTCTAGTCGAACATCTTGTAAGCAAGATCTTAGCCAAGATCTTGGGTACAAATTTATTAGATCTTAGACACGAATCCATTAGATCTGGGATTCACTCTCAAGATAAAACGTGTTGCATGTGTGATGATTTCGGATACAATGTATCACGTATTCTGCATGCGTGGTTCGAACCTATCATACAGTGCATTTTTTTATTTTTTTCTATAAAAGAATGTTATGATATTTTTGCAATTTATTTTAATTTTAATTATTTTTATCCCTAATAATTCAAGCAAGACAAATGCTGGGATCTGACTCACCTTGAATTGACCCTATCTCCACCAGACCACTTCAGAGTAGTCCTCTCTCGATCATCGATCGAGATTAGCATTTTCTCGAATAATAAATAGTCGAGAAATAATTTAGAAAAAAAAAATATTTTCAAAATTTATGTCTTGTATGTTCAATCATGTTGCTTATATACCGCTATATATTCATAAAAAAGAGGTGAATGACTAGTTGGCACGTAATAAATACACTAATGATGTCACTTTTTGTTTTACTCAAGATCTTGTGAGAAGATAATAGTAAATGGTATCTTTTCCATGATCTTGCTTACAAGATGTTTGACTAGTAGGTAATGACACCATCTTTCTGCTATTACGAAAACACATTTATGATCTCCCTAATCAGTAGAGTCCTACACGGTAATTCTACCCAATTCTATAATGTTGTAGCTTAGAATACAACCAAAACAAGGTAGATACGATTATTACACAACTATTGTCATTACCTCCATAATCATTTTTCAGGCGATACTTTGAGAAT